TTTTTTTTTCTTTCTTCTCATTGAACTAAGAGAAAGTAGCTATATATCTATCCTATTTTGTATATACAGACACTATATATATTGGTATAAAATGGTCCTTTCTTGTATGATAGCCAAATCTTGGCAACAATCTATATGCCTATCATCTGAGGAGTGGATGAAAAGGATTTTTCTTTTCTTTTTTTTTTTTTGTATTTTAGGGGCCTACAGGGTGTTCAGGGTCTCACTAGTAGATCTGACTCATAGTGATCTGCCTATTTACAGCCTCCCAGGAGCTAAGATTACAGGCATGCACCACCACACCTAGTCTCAACTGCCCTCTTAGTGCACCCTGGAGGCAGCACGGCAGGCCCAAGATCGAATCCGTGGCCCCTGAGCCTGAATGCAGGCACTTTAATCTGCTGAGCTATTTGGCTGGCCCTAAGATGCAGTGTTTTTATACAATGGAATATTACTCAGCTATAAAGAATAATAAATTTGAAGCTTTCATATATAAGTGGATGCAACTGGAAGATATAATGATAAGTGAAATAAACCAGACCCACATGTATAAATATCATATAGTCTCCCTAGTGTAAGAAGAAGAAATAAAAAAAGCAGGAAACAGAATAATTTGAAAGCATTTTTCTGTGTTTCTTTTAACAGAGCTGGACCTTTCTGGAAAGGCTACAACTGTTTTGCAGGGAAATTTCAACACCAATAACCTTATTGCACCCAAGCTTCTCCTCACTAGGACCTTGGGAAGCACGTGCAGTCCTACAGGACTGACTTCTTCCTGAGGACGATCATCCACTTGGGGCTCTGACTCTGTTCTTTTATTTTCAAAAGTGAGCTAGCTTCCAAATTTCCATGTTAACAAAAACAAAATATTGGCACTTATTTCAGTAACACAATAGTTTCCTAGCATGAGTGAGGCCCTTAGTTTGATCTCCAGAATTGGATTAATTTATATTTTATAGTCTTTTGTGAGGATTCCTTCCATATGTCTCAACTGAAATGCAATTCTCTGTAAAAAAGGAAATATTTTATTTCCCTTTGTTCCTTACTATCCCACAGCTAAACACCCCAGACTTTAGATACCAAATTTATACATGTTGTTACAAGCCCAGGCATTTTCTCTGCAATTTTGAGATTTTGGCCTTATTTTCCTCTACTCTACTGTTATCATCTTCCAGTCAACACACTTCACATAGACAAGGGTTTAGCAAAGGTGAGCAGTGTCCACTGTGAACTGAACACCATGCAACTTAAGTGTTGGCCTTGGTTATTTAGAGAAAGCGTGAACCCTGCATTGTAAAGACCATTCATTAGCATCCCCTCGGCCACCGACACCCACCCCTGTGCTCCCAAAGCCTCCGGGAGGACTCACCGTCAGGTGCTGCTCACCCACCATCTTCCTCCAGGCTGAACCCACCTGTGCTCTCCTCCTCACACACAGTCTACATTGAGTGTACTCATCAGTTGTGTATTATCACAGCTAATCCATTCGGATCTCCAGCAGTCCTTAGTTTATAAATTAACCCTTGATCTGGCTACTGCTGCATCCTAGATCTCTGAATGGTAATCTTCTGCCCAGAGGTTTCTTCTGTGGTCTCACCACTAGCTTCAGTCCATGGCTTTTTACTTGAAGACTTGTGCATTCACCACATTATTCTTACTCCAGTTCTGTGTCATAGCAGCAATTCTGTTACTCCCTCGTTGTACATAATTATCTTCCCTATGGTGCGTATTTTGTCTGATACAGAGGGGTCAAAATAATCAAAGAGCTGTGTAACTGGTGTTACTGAAAGCTGTTACTGTCATTATTAGCTCAACTACAGTAATGCCAGGCAAGTTCCTGCTTCCTCTTTAATCATTTGTTACTGCCATTTCTTTCTTTTGTTTTCTTTTTTTGGAACTGGGGATTGAACTCAGGCCCTTGTGCTTGCCAGGGAAGCACTTATTCCACTGAGCCATCTCCCCAGCCCCGTGTCACTGCCATTTCTTACAGAGGCTACTACAAAAATTTTCACACAACTCAAAATTCCTAATCTAGTCATCTCTAGTCATTTTTTTGGAAACGATTTCCATTTATAAGAAATAAAAAATTCCATTAGAAAACAATAGATAAGCCAAACTTATCCTTTCATACCCCAAAGAATTCCTTAAATATAAACAGATCTTTTCCTCCTTTATTTCAATAAAACTAGAAATATCTATTCCTCCTCCTACAAAAACTTGGTCTTGTGATCTGTGATGAGATTTCAGTTCCATTTGTCATCTCTGAACTCTGAACCTGGTCTATGGGTTCTCTCTGCAGTGCTCTGAGGTTTCGTTAGTACTTCCCTCCTTGCTATCAGAGCTGTGCTTAGGTCCCTTAAATAATTAGTTTCTTGGGACTGGAGAGATGGCTCAGTAGAATAAGCGCTTCCTTGGCAAGTGCAAGGGTCTGAGTTCAATGCTTGGTTTCGAAAAAAATTTTTTTTTCTTTCATCCTTGCTGTCTTCTGAGTTTTCTCTGAGCATTTATCTTGGTCCAATTCCACCTTCCCTTTCATAATATCCCTGCACACAGTTGAAGAGGGAATGAGCTTGGTGTGGAAAAGTGTTAGGCCTGAAACTCGCTTGATCTTGGGCACATTATGTTTAAAAGTAGTTGGGTCTCCCTGTATTAAAGAAAATGTCTATTCTAAAAGGCTACAGTGAAACCCTGGCAGCGGCTACCGCTGGCCAGCACCGTGGATTCCGGACTCCTGTTAGTAAGCCAAGCTCTAGGTCTCTCACTTTGACAGTGGACAGATTATATTATTCCTTCCATTCTTCAGTTTTCTTACTTATTAAGTGAGCATACTGATATTACTTACCTCATTTGACTTCAGTGTCATTTTGTTCAAGAGCCTAAAATCCCCTCATGAGCAGACCTTTGAAATCACTTTCACCAGACTGAGCTGCTCAGAAACTTTAGCACGAAGCCCTTGAGGCTCAGTTTGCTTCTGGATTCAACCACCAAGAGGCAGCACTTGCCTGGATGGAAAAGTCTGCTCAGAAAAGTTCTGTGTCCCCCTTAGGAGCTTGTTTTTGTCTCCTGCACACCGAATGCACATCCTGAGCAGGACAGACCCTGGAGCACTGGGGACTGCATACATGCAGTCACTGTCAGGGCAGCATCTCCTAGCCTTGGTCTCAAGGTCGCGCCTTAACAAGGAGCTCCCGGATCGCAGGTCCTCCCACAGAGACTCCCCTTCCTCCTGCTGAGGGACGTCTCTCTTCAGACCAGCACGCTCTGTCCCCAGCACTGCCCATGCTCTCCGTGACCCTCCTCCTGCTCGGAATGTCTTTCGCCCTGAGTAAGTAACCTGTGCCTTCCCTGTTCCTGCCTCACAAAGGAACGAAGCTGGAGGGAGACCCTGCGTCCTGACAGGTGGGTCTGTCCTGGTCTCACTGATGCGCACCTGACGTTGCAGGAGGAAGTGGAGCCCAGTCCGTGGCCCAGCCTGACCTCCGGGTCACCGTCACGGAAGGAGACCCTCTGCTGCTCAAGTGCAACTACACCTATGGAGCAACCCCTTACCTCTTCTGGTACATCCAGCGGCCTGGCCAAGGCCTCCAGCTTCTCCTCAAATACACATCAGGGTCAGCCCTGGTTACAGACAGCAGAGGTTTCGAGGCCGAGTTTAAGAAGAGTGAGAGCTCCTTCCACCTGCAGAAAGCCTCAGCCCGGCGGAGTGATGCGGCCCTGTACTTCTGTGCTCTGGGTGACACAGCGCCTGAAACTGCAGGGGGAGCTGAGCACAAACCTCAGAGACTGGACTTCCTGTGAGGCGGGGCCAGCCTGACCTGCTTTTAGGGTGACCTCTTAAGTGGTGAGGTGGAGGGCAGAGACAGGGGGATGCTAGACTCCTGCAAAGACGGGGAGCTTCTTTCCTTCACTACTGGGTCACGTCAGACACGACGGAGAACAGAGAGACTCCCGGGGTGCTCTCTGGCTGGGCAAAAAAGCTGCACTCTCGTTCAGGGCACTCATGCTGTGTGACCAACGATGAGCTCCTGGTCTCCCCTCGCACATCCATTGTGCTTCTACGACCTTCTGCTTCTCAACTACTGGCGATTCCATTCAGCATCTCTAGATGTGGTCTAGAGTTACTTCTGGTTCATTTCTGATTCATTAGATTTAGTACTAACATCTAATCCATCACACCATTTGACTGTCCTTGCAGTACAAATGATTGCATGAACTAGCTACGGGCTACCTCTGGGTCAAACTGTGGAAGCCTTCTAAATGATCTCCGCTCTTGTCCGCAGCACTCCATTCTTAATACAGCAGGCCTTGAAGTACCAGTGAGGTCACTGCCCTCATAAAATTCTTGCAACATCTTTCTATTCTGTCAGAATAAAACCAAAGTCTCCACAGTAGCCCATGAACCACGCTCTGCCTCCCATTACACTTCTGAAAGCTGACAAAAACCAACAACTATTTACCATGAGATCTGTAAGTAAGGAAAATAATAAAGTTATGAAATTTTCAAATAACAGGAAATTGAAAGAATTCATTATGAGTAAATTTGTTCTAAAAGAAATTTTAAAAAACTATGTTTAAACTGAAGAGAAATGATACCAGAAGAAAATTCATAACTTCAAGAATAAAGGAAGAACAACATAAATAATTAATATAAACACAAGATATTATTTTTATTATTTTTCAATGCTTTATTGGGGTAGAATTGTTGTTAAAAAGCTGATGGCATTTGATGATCTTGGACATGTGTGTTCACCCTCATAACCACCATCACAAGCAAGGAAATAGACACTATCAACTCCACACATTTCTTGTGCTTATTTTTGCTTTGTTTTGTTGTTTTTGGCGCTGCTTTTGTAAGGACACTTCCACTGTCATCTATTTTCTTCACAACTTTCTAAGTGTCCAGTGCAGTGCTGTTCACTGTGAGCATTGTTCTGCACAGAAGAGTTCTAGGAAGTGCCTTTGTATAATTAGAGGTTGATGCCCACTGGAGAATCACTCTCCATCTGTCCCCCCACATCCCTGTTCCTAGGAGCCATCATTGTATCCCTGCTTCTATGATTTTGAATATTTTTAGAACCTTCTATAAATGGAAGAATGCAATACTGCCAGATGAAATTTTTAAAATCTGAATGTGGAGGGGAGCTGACAGGTATAAAGGGGATAGGGAAAGTAACCTACCAAATTTCATGTATTTTACTTCAAGTACCCAAATAATACTAACTGGACCATGAAATGTTATACTGTAGGCACAATATAATACTTAGAAAAAAATTAAAAATATAACATGGAAAGAAGTACTTACCTACACTAAATTTAAAAAAACAGAACATTAATGAAGAGAAGTTGTGGTAGAAAAATGGGAAGAAAAGAAAGAAGAAGTAGTGAGGAAGTGGGAAGAACATGTAGTTATATTTTTGAAGGGCACTTGATGTTTATTTGCATGATGACATGCATTCATTATTGAAAAATAAAATCACCTAATATTCTACATTCCCATAAAAACCTATTTCAAATGTTTTTCTCTATAAAGTATGTTATTCTATGAACAAAATTGTGATCAACTGTTACTGCAACCCCTTTTGTTAACTTCTTTTATCTTCTAAAATATCTGCATGTTTTCTAAAAGCAAAAAATTAAATGCTTCAATTCAAAAAATGAATTTACAGACAGATACTAGCTAATAAATAGATAACATTGATCTCAAAGTAGTAGAGAAGTAAACCTTTGTAGTAGAGAATAAAGTAGTAGAGAATAAACATAAAAAGTTTCAGAATAAACCGTCTTGGGTGGGTGTAAGAGAGGGAAGATGGAAATAGGAAGATTAAAAAAATACAAGATACCATTTTCACATTCTGTAACCAGTGAGGATGAAAATTAAACCACATGAAAATAACTAACAGATTATAACATGCATATCTGAGAAGATACACAGACTCTATTTGAGAGAAGAGAAAGAGTCACTAACTTGGGGTTAGAGGTGATGCACAGGCAGGTACACTTCAGTGTGAAGGTTTCAGCCTGACCTGACGTAGATAAGGGAAGAAGGCACGCGTTGGTGAGGCAGTAACTCGGCCTGAGGTCCAGTGTGTGCCTCTGAGGAGCCCACCGGGCATGTGAGCTGTGTATTGCACATTTTAATAATTCTGGTTTTTCCTGATACACCTAACACCCTATCCAATCCCTCCAGATGCCGCTGGGAAACACCTCAGCTGATGGCAGCAAATATTCTAGCTCACCTTAGCAGGACAAAATCTCCTTTCATCTAAATTAATTATTGGTCCAAGAATAAGATTTAACTACTGCTTACTTCAGTGATGCGGGGATTGCTGAGCAGAAGCCGTTCATATGCCTGTCATGTGATGAGTGGATAAAGGCAATACACACTGCGGAGCATGACGCAGCCATAAAGGATACATTTGAGTCATTTGAAGGAAAACTGATGCCCCTCAAGCCCATAATTCTAGGTGACATAAACCAGATAAAGGTGTATTTGCATTTTGTATTTCTCTTGGATGAGAAACCAAACTCTACATAATTAAAAGAAAATAAAAGGAGGGTGATAGGACACAGCCAGACAGATTTCATGGCAGCAAAAAGGTAGCCTGGATCTGAAAGTCACAGAGAAGAAAACCGCACTGAGATACGACATGTATATGCAGTCTATTTACTATGTGTCACAAACACAAACTGAAACATAAAATAAAGTCCATTCATAGGAACAGAGTCATGGGAGTTGTTCACAGGAGACTGTACTCTCCCTGTGCAGCCACACAGGGGCAGCGCTGCTTCAGTGTGTATCAAGATTACTGCTTTAAAATGTAGAAAATCTCCTACTGTTTCAGTTTATTTTCATATCACACTTAATTTATGTGTGTATTTCCAAGCTACTAAATAATGTCTAGGTAGAAAAATAAGACTTCAAGTTCAGGGCCATATTGACATTTCTGATGTGAGCAGGAAATGAAATGGCCTCACTTGTGTACCACTGAATCAGCAGCCTCACTGATTTAACTGAACTGGAATTTTCTCTTACACCCTGTTTGCAGGAAAATCCACTCATGACTTAGGGTGCACTTCAAGAAGCTTTTATCTCTAAACCCTTCCGTGATGTGGTCCGGAATCAGAATTTATCTCTGCCGAAGCCATCTTCTCCGGGCGCTCAGTGTTCTCCTAGACCTTGTCTTGCTGTCCCTGAGTACTGGGCTGAGTTTGTGGTCTGGGTTTCGTCTTTCTTGTGGGAGGTCCAGACACTGCCTGTGTGGCAGGAGCTTGGAGGACACCCACACACGTGCACCAGTCTCTCCTCTTCCTCAGCTTTGTTTTCCAGGTATTGAGGTTTTGCAGTGAGTTGCTGTCTGAAAATATTAAGTGGAAATTTCAGAAAGAAACAATTCACAAGGTTTTTAAATTACACATTGTCCACAGCAGCCTGCTAGGATTTGCTGCCACCCTTCTTGGTGTGTCCTGAGCCCTGAATTGTCATTTTGCACAGAGGAACATGGTCTGTGCTGTGATCATTGGTCACTTTGTAGCCATCTCATCAGAATAGCTATCTACACTGTGTTTACATAATTCTTATTTTGTTTAATAAAGTTCTGAAAGTGCAAAAGTAAGTGCGCTGGTAATGTGGACATGGAAAAGAGAATGCACAAAGTATTCCCTTCGCATGACAAAATAAAAATTATCATGTAAGTATAGAGAAAATATAAGATTTTGTTACATCTCCTGGTCTGGGGCCTGAAAGTCCTCAAGTTCACCTGAGCCAGGTCTGTCTCTGTCTCTGATGTAGAAAAAGGAAGAGCACTCAGAAAAGGTCACCCACAACAAAGTAACTTCACTCTAGGTATTGCAAGAAGAAACAGGGCAAAGCTGCTAGGGAGGAGTGGGGCACTCAGAGCTGAGGCATCATGGAATCTGGGGGGGGCGCATCCTGTTTATTGGGTAGGGGTCCCATCTCCACCTCCAGGAAGGCCAACACTGGGTGGACTGGATCCTGGCTTGTTGCTAGGAGTTGAGAGGGCTAATAGTGGAATCCAGGTGGGAATGGTGACTTGCACTAAGAGGGCTAATGTTGCCTGCCCAGAGGCAGGTGTCAACACCATAAGCTTTCTGATTCAAATCATAAAGCTGCTTGAAAATCCCGTTGCTCATAGCCACACAAGCTGCATTTTCTACTCTCTCAGAAGGGCCTGAATCTGTCCTACAGTTTGATTCTATTTGTGGTTTCAGACATTGACTTGAGGTCTTAGAAAGTAATTCCCACAGATAACGGAGAATATGCTAAACACATAAAAACATTAAGCAATTTTGAAACTTCCCATTTGGGTGGGGGATAGAGCTCAGTGCTCAGTGCCAGCCTGGCAAGCATGAGATCATGAGTTCAATTCCTGGTAGAAAAAACCTTTCCTCTTTGACATTGCTGTAGGGATTTGGTCAGATTGAGGAACTGTCTCAGGTACTCTTCTCTCATTGCTGGGACCAACACTCTACACCCAAAATGAAGGAAGGAAAGGTTTACTTAGCTCACAGTTACTGGAAGTTTCAGTGCATATTCAGCTGGCTCCAAGCAGGGTGGCACATAGCAGAAAGCAAGCTTTCATGGCAGCAGCAAAGACCAGGAGAGCAAAAGTATGAATAGCAGCAGCTCCAGCAGCTAGCTTCTCATCCCTGCTTACGCTGTATTACAAATTACCTGTGCCAGGGCGGGTGCAGCATCCACAGCCAAAGCAATCAATCACAAACTCCAGAAGCTGCCCCAAGACTGCATGAGGCTTTGGGGGGACATCTATACACAAACC